GGTTATCGAACTTGTCCGAGCTTTCATGGTAATTAACCTTGTTGTGAAGTTTGAAGTTAATCCGTTGATAATTACTCGAGATATCGAACGGACATCGTTTGCCCGCCCGCCCGCCCGCCTGCTCACGTGATAACATAATACGTCCCAGTCTTTGACGGGCGTATAAAAAGTTGATAAAACGTCAGAATAATTCGGACTAACTTCATATGTGCTATTTCAAGATAATGACTTCAAAAAACTAAAGTTCCACAAGGTCTAGAGCCCTACTATTTCATACATAACATGGTCAGGTAATTGGCTATCAAGTTTGAAAATATGCATGACCTTGACCAATGTTCAAGGTCACTGGGGTCAATTATGTTAAAATCTTCAATAGACTCCTTCTCAATAACGGAAAGGCCCAGGGTATTGATATTTGGTCTGTAGCATGCTAGGATGATGGGCTACATGCATGGTTAATGGACATCAATAACCATTAAAGATCAACTTCCAGTATTTGATAGAGGTCAAATTCGAACATGTAATGTTACCAGATACCAGGACTTTTACTACTGGTGTTAGGGAAGTAACCCTTACAGCCCGTCAAATTGTAAGCCAACAATTTCTAGTTTATTCTTGCTTTTGTTTGACAATCGGACGGCTAGACGCCATGCCAAAAGTAGACATTACTCGGCCCTTACATGGTGTTCTGGGGCGTTAAAATAATCATGAAAACAAGGCACGATCCTGCGTCTGTTGCAATAATCCGTAAAAAACAACATTTGTTCGGAAAAATCGACTTCCAGTTATCAAAAGATAGCTATTGGATTGTTAAATACACACACAACAAATTGCATATTGGCATTCTTAGAAATAAATTATCTATGAGTGATTATATAACCCATGTAACAAGAATACGGTTTTCTTCGAATTTTACCGGAAGTATAAGTTTGAACGTGGATATCTCTACTTTCAGGCCAAAATTGACGCAGAATTAAACACTCTATTGTATATCAAATTAAAGGTATTGGTTTTAAGGTAATTAATACAAAAACGTTTGTCAATTCGTTCAGAAATGAAAAACTTATGAGGAATTTACTATACCGCACAGCCGACCCTGCGGCAGACCAGCGAAATTAGTCCTATGGTATGTAATTAATAATAATAATGTTTAGTTTATTATCATTTATTCCAATTCTTTAATTCATATCCGTAGTTTCGTAATCTGGATATTCTATACTTTCCTCACAGAGTTATGACATAACCTATTACTTTCTCGGGCTTATAAAGATGACCATAAAATGATGGATGACGATGATACAGGTTCACAATAGTCGACTTTGACCCCACGAGACAAACCGGACACCGACGATGAAACTTTCCCGACGGTAAGTAATTGATATTTCTTATGTATCGGCTAATCTTTTATGAATTACAATATATTATTGATTCTCAAATTCAGTATTAGTAGTTTCGTAAACTGGATGTTTTCATTCTTATACTTTCCTCGCAGAGTATTGACATAACCTATTATTTTCTCAGGCTGGTAAACCAGAGAGTGTTACGGAGGCGGGAACCGCATATATGTGAGGTGTGCTACAACCCAGTCAAACATATGGCGCCATATGCGAACGATCCATGGGCAGAGGAAATCAGTCGCCCCAGTTCTGAAAACAGAACGAGCGCCTGTGGGATAACTATAGCAAGATGGCAGATATGCTGCGGCCGGATTGTCCAGAAACCGAGAGACCGGCGTCAAGAAGTCAGAACAAAAAACTTTGGCCTCCAGAGAACGTAAAATCTTGCATTGACATTGAGGTTGTCCGAATGTTGATAGGCAGCAGCCGAAATCAAGAAAGAGGACAATGGATGAAAAAGCGATGGCTGAGAAGCCAAGCCGACAGCAATATCTGATTCCGACGAGGATACCGAACCAAAAACAACGACGTGGTCTATTTGTTTGTTTGTTTGTTTGATTTTGTTTAACGTCCTATTAACAGCTAAGGTCATTTAAGGACGGCCTCCCCTGTGTGCAAGATACATGCGTGTAGTGTTAGCGTGTGTATTTTGGGAGGCTGCGATATGTTCGTGTTTGTCTCCTTGTGATAGCGCGGAACTGATGCCGACTTTATAGTGCTACCTCACTGAAACATACTGCCGAAGACACCCAGCAGGACGCCCCACCCGGTCACATTATACTGACAACGGGCGAACCAGTCGTCCCACTCCTAATTTGCTGAGCGTTAAGCAGGAGTATAAACTACCATTTTTAAAGACTTTGGTATGTCTCGGCCAGGGGACAGAACCCAAAGCCTTCCTCACAGGGGCGAACGCTCAACAAATGGCCAAAAGTGAGGCATTGTCAAGGGAGACATTAGGAAGAAGAAAGTTATTTAGAAAGGAGAGAAGAGATAAGGTCCCAAATTTAGTCGCCTCTTACGATCATGCAATTGGGGGCAGCAGGTACAATTCTTACGCCCTACCTGCAGGACAAACGTGGTCTATTAGACCATCGCTAAGAAAAAGAGAAAAAAAAAAGAGGAGGTCGCCATACTGGTGCAAGTCATGAAGAGGGTGTAGAGGATTTTTCTGGCTCCTCTTTCAAATTAGACAAAGAGTCAGATGCTGATAATGATGAGGAAGAGTCCGACGAAGAGAAGGTTATCGAGTCAAGAGGACGCAAAACATTTAACCTAGAGTTTGTGCGACTGCAGATTTTGCGCACATTCTGCGGGTACCTCCAGTCGGACAAATACTCGCTACAACACAGCCGGCAAGTTCACGTGATATGGACAGCATGTCCAGGGACAGGGTATGACCTTTACAACGTAATGAATGCAGACTACATTATAAAACAATAGATCTCCCAGGCCCTGTCCGAGTACAGGGTGAGAACGGTAAAGAGTCACTTATCCAGCTAGATCCTATTTCTGGAGTACTTGAGTACAAAAAAAGTACTCTACGACATGTCAGTCCTTTCCGCCATCAGCTCTGGAAAGCAAGAACAACCAGTACGCTGAAAAAAGAGTCTGGCAGAGGGCATCGGAGGTGGCCACATGCGACTTTTTAATTATGCCATCGACCCACGAAGTCAGCGAATTCCTGGTTAGAATTAGCGAAGAGGGTGCCGTACTGCAAGTGACACAACACAAAACAAGTGCATTCACATCGCAGACCTGTTTACCCTATTTAGAGGCTTTATGTAGTTTGGACAGCTACTCTCAGTAGTTTTGGGCAGCATTAACAAGTCATTTATCACCATCACACTACTATACTGTATGTGCAGTATTCACTCATAACAGAGCAATACATGCAAGTTGAGAAAATTTCATCTGTAAATCATGTTTAGTTTGTACAGATTTTACTTATTAGGCCCATTGCCCTTTTAAACATGAAAACTAAAGATTCCACCTTGTACACACTGCCTTTGTAATACAATATGAAATCTTAAGATTTCACCATGTGTATACTGCATATAACATGAAAAACAAAACATTTTAACTTGTGTATAATTGCCTTTATTCTAAGACAGGAATTTCAACAGGTATAACAAACTAAGTCTGAACTTAATCTAAAAGAACCTTTGGTTAATGCTTGTTTCAAATATAAAAAAAACCCAAAACAACATGGTCTCAACTCTTTTCAAACACCTGTAGTAGTCCCTTTATAAAAGTGTTTCTGCTATTGTGCCAAGGTGGAACTTAGCATGCACCTACCATGATGACTCCCTATTTTTCAAACAACCCCATTCAAATTGGTATTTCATAAACATGTACTCTTTGAGAACCTAAATTGAAAAAGAGAGTTGCATGCAAGGCTGTGAACTATTTATGAAAATCACATAGAGTTATCACAGTCTTGCATGCAATCCTTGAAATATTAAAACAACCAATCAAATATTTCAAAGACATACAGTAAAAATCTTTGCCCATGATGAGTGTATCTCTGCTAAGATAACTACTTCTCCAAATTCAGAGCTGTATGCAGACCTGTGAAAACTATTTATGATTTTCATATAGAGGTATAAAAGTCTTGCATTAAACCCTGAACATATTCAAACAACAAAATTATTCTTTCAATGATCTGTAGTAGGCCCCTTTCAGTCTTTTAAGTATGTCTCGATCATGGTGCCTATTGTCAGGCTTCCCTGCCCGTCCTTTAAGCACAAGAAGGGACTCTAAAGTTTTGTCGTTCAATGAACTTCTCTGGTCAGTTCTGTTTTTTCTTACTGTTGAAAAGACACGTTCACAGTGTGCACTACTGTGAGGTATGGTGATAATTCCCAGCATCACTTTGGACAGTTCTGTGAACAAAGCATTGTCATTTTCATCCTTGATTTTTCCCATCTCCCTCCAAGTTTCATCAATCCTCTGAGTGTCCTTCACACATGCTTCAACATTGTAACTCTGGTAAAGAGTAAACTGTTCAATCAGAACATCTTTCCTTACTCCTGCACCCAAGCAGGGAAATCTGTCTATGAAGTACATCAAAGCACACTGATTGGCTGTTTCTTTTAGAGAGATATCCACAACTTCTGCATACTTCAACAAAGGCTCATTGTTTGGAAGTTTTGCTTTTATGTAGTTACAAGCATTTGTGAAATAACACTTTACATTGGTGTAGAACACTTCAATTCGACTGTCTCGTAAGTGATTCTCTCTTTTGTTTGCAATGAACTGCTTGGCCTCCTCACCTATAACTATGGTTTCATTGTACTTTAAATTGTACCTGGAATGGTAGTCATCTTCATCTGCAGCTTTCCCTGTTATAGCACTAGGTTCAACAAAGCGAACCAGAATGTTCATCAGAAGACGGTGGAGAGATCGCCGGAGGGTGTGAATTCTTGGATCTTCTGCTTGAAGACAGGTCAGAGTCTCATCAAATACTTTAATTGTGTATCTCTTGTTGGTAGGTGAGCGAATGAAATCAAATATCACTTCAACTTTCTTTTCAGCATATGATTGTTCCATATAGCCACCAACAGATACCTTCATACTGTCATCTTTTTTGCTGTCATGTGTCTTATTTATACATGTGCTACTTGGTTTCTTAACAGTCTGGCTCTTCTTTGTAGTATCTTCCTTTCCTAACTGTGATTTTCCTGGTTTCTCAGCAGCCTGTATTGTCTTATCACTTGAAGGTTTGCAGACCTGAGAGCTCTTCTCCACACTAGTTTTGGACCCCTTCTTGGAGTCGTGCAACTCTTTCTGTGTCTTAAAGTAAACCTTCAGTGGGTCCCAGTTTTGAAGAAGCCTCTCAATGCACCTGAAAAACCCCAAAATAAAGAAATATCCATTAGAAGAATATTGTGCGAGGAAAATTTTATTAAAAGAGGATTTTCTTGCATAATATACAACATTATCAGACTATATCATCTAACTGAATGTAATTTATAAAGAATGTACCTTCCAATGCTGAGCCATCTTGTGCAAACATGCTTCAACATCTTCTTCTGGTCAACATCATAGAGTGATTGTGTGCCCCTGAACTCCGATTTTCTCTTGTCACTTTTGTTGAAGTAGTAGTATATGTCAACCAATACCTCATCAATGGCCGAGAGGGCTTCTGCTGCCTTCCTTGCTGCTATATGAACTAGGTGTAGAGGACAACCAGAAAGATACACTTGTGGCTGCTGTTCCTTAACAAAGGCAAACACACCTAGATAGATATATAGATAGAAACATTAATCATTTGAGTTAAGTATTTATATAATATGTGTCAATACAATGCATACAATAAATAATCAGTTATAAAGTGGATTAACCCTTTCATGCAAAGGCTATTTAAAGATCATTGCATCATGTTCTACTTTTTGACAAAACTGAAATATTTAACAAAAAAGTGAAGTAATTTTTGAAGTAATTATTTTTGAAGTATTTTTTTTTTTTTTTAAATATTTAAGTATTTGGTGTATGTAAAATTTTACAATGCTATCACACCTTTCTTGTGACCAGTCATCACACTGGCATTATCGCAGCCCAAAGACAAACAGTTCTCCCAAGGTATATTTCTGGCCTTCAACTCCTTGTCCATAAGTCCAAAAATGTTTCTCCCTGAAAAGAAGAACAGGCATGCATCAGATTGAATTGCACACATTCTTCATAACGTTAAGTAAATGGTGCATATTTTTTCTTAATGTTAAGTAAAACTACAAACAGGATCAAGTCTTCTCCTGATCTTAAGTATTTTACAGCTCAAGAAATGGTCAATGATGCAAATTGTTAAAGACTGCATCAGGATAGACCATCTACTTATGAGGCATGAAACCCCTGCATATTGTAGTAATATAGTATTTTATATAATCATATAATGACAGAGCTACTTTTTTAAAGTAATACCTGTAGCAGATTCTGTGCAGACTGGTATGGAAAGCAGTTCTGAGTCTACAGTCATCGACTCCGGATCCACAGTTCTTACAACTAGTGGAAACTGCTTACTGGTATCATCATTGCTACCATCAATAGAAACAGTGAATGGGGCGGTTCTCATTCTCTCTGCAAGAGATTTTTTGGTGATGTCAGCAAGATCACAAATGATGGCTGTTGCCTTGTTTCTACCACACTTCATGCCTGAAAAATATACAAAAATACATGTATTACTGGGAGTGCCAATGCTGCATTTTGCACAGAATATTTTTTTTATAAAAGGGTATAAACTCCCTGTATACAATGGTTTCTTTTTCTTTTTAATAGGCCAATCAAAAGTTGGGGATGAGGCAGAAGTTTTGAGAGGGGTTGGGGATAGGCGTTTCATTTATCCTAATGAAAACACCTCCCCCTCTCTGTTTGATAGAAAGATTTTAGAATATATTTAGAACACACTCACCTCTTTGTCTTTGGTTCCACATTAAAATCATGTTAACACCAAAAATATTCATTTAAACATAATTCTCTTGAAGTTTTTCCTTAAGAAATAAATTAACTATGACAACATTTTTAAATTATAACCTACCATTGGCAATTTCCGAATCGGGGAACATTGTTTTCAGCGTTTCAGTCATCCTTTTTGCCGTGGATAGGGACAAGTTCATTTCGGAAATAAACTCGCACATCAACACTTCTGCGTTCGTAACTATCAAGTCTTTTTCCGATCTGAATGTCTGTAGCATGTTTGAAATGTCTTTGTTTGATTTTTTTTTTATCTTCGACCATTGATTGTGTGACGCAGACTCGATGTGTCTCTTACAGTCGTTGCGACCTCCGTGTACACACATGAAATCAACATTGCAAGTTAAACAATGCACATAAGTGTCCCCTTTGGTAGACATTTCCATAAATCTTTGTATGCAACTTTATACTTTTGATTGTTAGTTTGTTTTTGGCTTTTTTAGTTCCAACCGTTTCTTTTTCATCATCGAGCAGACGGCGTTTTTCTGCCATCTTTACGTGTACATCCGGGCCTCTAGAACTAATCCTGTCCGCAAGAGGCTTGTTAACTAATGTTTTGTTATCATGCAAGCGTTCGAATGATCACGGGTACTGTCTAAATACCCATCATAGCGACAAGGAACGGAAATACGCTTTAAAAAACGAAAATGACCGATTATATATCAAAATCCGTAGTTTTTCAATGATAAACCGTAGAGCGTATTTTAACTGTTAAAAACGTAGAAAATACGGCGAATCCGTAGTAGTAAACAGGTCTGACATCGGAAGCTCTGGGCCTTCCGGATCCACTTTTCCAGTACCTGCTGGCCTACCGGTCACTGAGGGACAGACTTTCTATTCTAAACAAAGACCCGAGTAAGGGGATATTTTATTCATATCCACTCAAAGACAGCGACCCGAAATCTATAACTCATTCTTTATTGAATATGATTGTACAGCGGACGTGGCAGTCTGTTCACAAGGATTATGTGCTAAGAGCAACCCTCAACCGCAAATTTGTAGCGACGAATGTGAGGAGATCGGAGCCGTCGAGATCGTCGAGGATGGCACAGGCATCTCACACGACCCAGTCACATGTTTTACGACATGGTGAAATTGGTCGAAAATGCCCTCCCTATATCAATGAAGATCTCAACCCTCCTCGGATGAGGACGACCAAGAAGATCAGAGTAAGAACGTCAGGAAAAGCAAGTCCGACCTAGGTGCGCAACCTCAGCAACAACCCGCCTCGGATCGAAGTCAGAACGTCAGGAAAAGCAAGTCCGGCCTAGGTGCGCAAACTCAAGAACAACCCTCCTCGGATCGATCTGAGAACGTCAGGAAAACCAAGTCCGACCTAGGTACGCAAGCTCAACAACAACCCTCCTCGGATCGAGGTAGGAACGTCAGGAAAAGCACGCCGGCCTATTGTAGGTGCGCAAACTCAAGAACAACCCTCCTCGTCCTCGGATCCAGTCGATGAAGAAAGAAATCAGGAATAAGTCATGAAAAGTACCGGTCAGAAAGAAAGGACCACCTTGTCACATGGTCGAAGAAACTTACACCAAGTTGAGTCACATCTTTTTCTTAGACTAAGTGGCAGATTTGTAACCCGACAATCAATTAGCGCCAAAGAAATTGTTGAATGTCTAACTTCTACAGAAGAAGGAATGGATCTTTACAATAGATTAAAAGAAAGATTTGGTCAAAGTACAGACAAGAAAATTGCGGACAGGATACGGACGGAAAAGCGTAAGAGTTTAGACTAATTATTCTCGGAAAGGTTCTTCAAACGTGGATGAATAAACAAAAATATCTTTAAAGTAGTAAGTAAGTAGACATTCAAAAAAGAGGGGAGACCTCATCAAGAGTTGTGAAGAGATCGTTCTCTATCCCAGGAAACACTATTTTAGCGTGACAGGAAATCATCATTTCCTCATTGAATATCGGCGAGAAAGGACGTAAAGCTAATCTGATACAGCGTTACTATGGAAACGAGCACATTCGTGGAATGTATATCCCCCGCTTGCAGGACATATTGTAGGTTAACATTATTGAGGTTAGGTCTAACCTCAATACTATCGAACTGATGAGACATAATCTAACTTAGTCGAGCCCTTCAGGCATTTAACCTGTTACCAAGTTTAAAGAAAATCGGTTAACATTTGTTGCAGTTATTGCACGAAAACGAAGCGTGACAGACAGACAGACAGATGGACAAACAACAAGAGGCCCATGGGCCTTAACGGTCACCTGATATATTTATACAGAGAGTTGAATTTTGTTTTTAACATGAACAGAAATATTATTCAAAGTGGAAAAAAAAACAATATCTAGCGTGCAGATTTAAGACTGAAAAGTATCTGAAACAGCACTTCTGATTCTAAACAAGGAAAATGAAGAAATTTTATTTTAGCACACAAGACTCCATTGGGCCCCACCTTACAGCCCTTGGGGGTAGGGATGGCTCAAAATTTACAAAGTATCAAACTGTCAACTTAGGGTTAAAATTCTAATCAAGTTATCAGCATGTAATATTCAAAGTAGCATTTGCCATTATAAACCATAACAAATTTCCCCCCTCCTTCCCCAGGGGGAAACGCGAGACCCCAGGGTCATGAAATTCACAATTTTGGTAAAGCACCTGAAGACCCTTCCATCTATGAAGAGTATTTGATTCTACCATATCTGGGTCTTGAGAAGAAGATTTTTGAAATTTCAGTCAATTCAACCCTTTTTGGCCCAACCCATCAGCCCCAGGGGGTCAGTCAGAGCTAATATGTGCATACCATCAAACTGCTATCCAATACTAATAATTCTAACCCAAATTTAATTACTTCCAATGGCAATTAAACAAATGTTGGTCCAAAATGTGATTTCCCTATATAAACTATAGTAAAGTTTACCCCCTCCCTAGGGGGAAACGTGAGACCCTAGGGCCATGAAATTCACAATTTTGGTAGAGCACCTTAAGACCCTTCCATCTATGAAGCGTATTTGATTCTACCATATCTGGGTCTTGAGAAGAAGATTTTTGAAATTTCAGTCAATTCGACCCTTTTTGGCCCCACCCATCAGCCCCGGGGGGTCAGTCAGGGCTGATATGTGCAGACTATCAAGCTGCTATCCAATACTGATAATGCTAACCTAAATTGAATTACTTCCAATGGCAATTAAACAAATGTTAGTCCAAAATGTGATTTCCCTATATACACTATAGTAAAGTTTACCCCCTCCCTAGGGGGAAACGTGAGACCCCAGGGTCAAGAAACTCAAAATTTTAGCAAAGCACCTTAAGACCCTTCTATCTATGAAGAGTATTTGATTCTACCATATCTGGATCTTGAGAAGAAGATTTTTGAAATTTCAGTCAATTTTACCATTTTTGGCCCCACCCCTCAGGCCCCTGGGGGCTGGGGACCATATAATTCACAGTTTTAGTTGAACTTTGGCCATGGATGGTTTCTGCAAAATTTCATTGAAATTGGTTTAGGGGTTTTGGAGAAGAAGTCGAAAATGTAAATTGTTTACGGACGCACGACGGACGACGGACGACGACGGACAAAAGGCGATCGCAATATGTCACTTGAGACTTTGTCTCAGGTGACCGAAAAATCAATATCCCCCGTTTCGATGAAAGCGGGGGATAATTATCATAACACACTTTATTGTTACAGAATAGCACGCAAAAATAAATTTAGACGAATCAAAAGGGTGACTCAAGAAGACAACCTTAACCGTCTAGCCTTAGACGGAGAGGACCGCGAAGGTAAGGAAGAAAACAGTGAGCATCACGACGGTCAAAGAGACAACAGTGAATACCAAGACGGTCACAACATGGACGTCGACTGAGAGGACCACGACGGTTAGGAGGATAACAGTGAACCCCAAGACGGTAAGAAGGACAACAGCGAACACTTTGATGGTCAGGAAGACAATAGTGAACACATTGACGGTCACAGCACGGACGTCGACACAGACGACGATTTCAGTCAGGACATGTATTACAATAGTGAAAACAATAAAACCTAGGAAAAACACTGAAAGGACTGATGATGAATCTGACGTTGACGATGGTCTTGATCCGGACTTCAATCTCAATGAGAACAAAGAGAAAACAACAAAAAGCAGGAATTTGACACTTTCAAAATACGTACGTGTTTATTCAACTGCTAGAAAAATCAAAACAACATATCAGATGGACGGTCTCAAGGAGACAGGTGTCCAACAACCCCAGAAAGCGCAAAATCTGCGATACATGTGGAATTTCGGTGGTCGACATGGTGAGGCATCAGACAACCGCACATGACAAGGTTACCCATTTTCAGGTTTTAAGGGCGACAGCACAAAATAGGTAAATGACGTCAACAGCGGAGGCCAAATACAGAGACTGCCCAACGGGTGGCTGTCCCGCACGAGTGATCAGACTAGACAGACATTTGAGCCGAGTCCATAGATTGGATAAATCACAAGTGCAGAAATTTATAAAAGAGGCCAAGAGTATTCCAAGGCAAAAACGAGCCACTGGAGACATGGAGAGCAACCACGAGGAAGAAACCATGGAAGACAATTCGTGTACAAAAGAGCCAGGAAGCATGGAAGAAGAAAAGTAGTGTACAACAGAGCAAGAATGAGATTCCTAAGGGTGGAAGAAGTTTCACCTGAAGTGACAGTCAGCTCTTGCTAACTCTCTGCAAAGACTTGATCCATTCTGATCTAACCCTAACTGCAAAAATGGTATTGGAAAAAGTTTCCGAAACACATCTTGTCAATTTATATAACAAAAAGATTTATAAGACAGTCAGGAAGGCCCGAAGAGGTTGCAGAAAGGGAAAATTTGCAGTTTGATCACAAAGAAAGGAAATTTGAACATTTGAACATTGAAATGAGCAAAAGTCCTGATCAACATCGTTCGAAAAAAGCTCATGTTTTTTGTTCAATTTAGTTAATTTTCACAGAAAGTGCTTCTAATTTCATAAAAATGTCTAGTTAAGATAATTTTAATATTAGATTATCCAGTCAGTTTTGAATCAAATGTAAATATATCAATTAAGTAGGTAATCAAAAAACCTTGTATTTTCATTGATTTTGTAAATTTTACCCATGTTATTATATCATTTCTGTGAAATTGTTTTTGCGTTCAATACTAACAATTTTCGTATTTTTCTAATGTTTTGAATCAGATGTATTTTGTTTATTTAGCTATTTTACACACAAGTTGTGTTTTTAATTATATAAAAGTGTCGTGTTAGGATTTATTAGTGAAGAGTTATTTCCCTTTAGTTGCTACACCTAAGTGAGATGCGTTAGTGATTGCCGTTACTTCGAACGCATGGCAGCGTGGATAATTTTTGTGTTTCATAAATCAGAGAAGCCAAGGCGTAAGTGACACGTCAATTAACATAATCATGACAAATTAATCATATATAAGCCAATGACTCAATCTGTGCACATTGTATCCGATCGAACTATATAAATATGTGATAATTCGTACTGATTGCCATGTTCAGTCAGTGATTACGACTGATGCATCAGGATGTATACGCAAATATAAGTTACTACCACATACAAGTTTGATTTGAGTGTAGGTTTGTTTCTCAGGAGTTTGGAGTCCAATTTATATAAACATGCCCTAATAATATAGATTCCTCTGATATATTTTGTGTTCATATGTGCTAATGGAAGTATTTCTGTGGTTTTAACCGTATTTACCGTAATAATGAGAGTACTGATAACCGTGAGCACGGAATTCTACACTCCTGACCTAAGTTGCTATAATAGTGTTGTCATGCAAACTTATCAACATACATAATGCATACCTTCAATAGACTCTT